GAGCTTGTATTCTGTATTCTGCTAACTTACTGCAATTCTCTCTGATGACGCAGTAACTTGCCGCGGGGAAGAAAAACTATTCGGTCTGTCCAATGATTGTAAAGTTATTAGGTCCGTCAGACGGAAGATATTTTAGCGGTAATGAGACCAAAAATAATTAAGACCCATCGAATCAGAATGTAAGACTTTTTAAGGCCTTATATTAGGAAAACGTTATTTAAGACATTTTAAGACTTTTTAAGGACCCCCGGACACCCTGTAATATGTCTCAGGTGTCTCTCTTTGGATTTGAGACTTTAGTCTTTGCAACTTTACAGATCTTCTTTATGCACCAAGAGCTTGTAACACTTCAAAGAGAAAGGAAAAATTGAAATCACATCATATGACCCCTTTAATCTAGCCTCTTATGAAGACTTCATATGACCCAGCACCTGTGAATAGAGGACTCCAGATACAAAATTATTAAATTTTCATTGCTTTAAAATGCACACAAAGTTTGCTTAAATGCATATATGGTATTTGTAAATACTATAATTTGTACTATACTTCAACTGTTCTTTCTGATACCCACTCCTATAAAGACTATTCTGGTTTTGTAACAGAAAAACGTGCATTTTCTGTAAAGCTGCTCTGAAACAATATGTGTTGTGAAATGCGTTATACAAATAAATATGACTTAACTGAATGAGCCATTGCATTGTTGGTTACTGTACCATGTTGTCTCCGAGGGTGTGTTGAAAGTTTCACAGGGTGCTTATACATGTACTTGTCCATTATAATAAATAAATAAAAGAAAATTATATATATATATATATATATATATATATACCAGACATGTTTACTGTACCATTTAGAAGATGGACCTATAAATATGACATATGTGACTATACAGTTGAATGGGCCATTGCACTGATTGCCCTATTGGAGGCGCAAAATCTCAGCTGTCCTTGAGGTTGCGTTGAAAGTTTCATTAGAGGCTTATACCCAGTGTGACTGTCTGTCTATCACCATGAAAAGTTTCAGACATTTTTACGGTACCATTCTGAAGTTATGGACCTATAGATTTGACATATATGACAATATAGACTTGAACTATTGCATTCATGGCCCTACTGAGGGTGCTATATCTCAGCTGCCCTTGAGGGTGCGTTGAATGTTTCACTAGGGGCTTATTCACTTGACTGTAACCATGCAAATTTTCAAAAATGTTTACTGTAGCATTTTTTAAGATATGGACCCATAAGTTTGGCAGATATGACAAAACAGTAACAGGAGAACATTGCATTATTGGACCAATTGGAGGCGCTATATCTCAGCTGCCTTTGAGGGTGCGTTAAAAGTTCTACTGGGGCCTTATTCCCAGGGCCCTTGACTGTTACCATGCAAATTGTCAGACATTTTTACTGTAGCATTTTTAATATATGGACCCATACGTTTAGCAGATATGACTATACAATAGGAGAAATTGCATTATTGGCCCAATTGGAGGCGCTATATCTCAGCTGCCTTTGAGGGTGCGTTACAAGGTCCACTGAAGCCTTATTCCCAGGGCCCTTGACTGTTAGCATACAAATTTTCAGACATTTGTACTGTAGCATTTTTAAGATGTGGTCCCATAAGTTTGGCAGATATGACTATACAATAGGAGAAATTGCATTATTGGCCCAATTGGAGGCTCTATATCTCAGCTGCCTTTGAGGGTGCGTAAAAAGTTCTACTGGGGCCTTATTCCCAGGGCCCTTGACTGTTAACATGCAAATTTTTAGACATTTGTACTGTAGCATTTTTAAGATGTGGACCCATAAGTTTGGCAGATATGATTATACAATAGGAGAAATTGCATTATTGGCCCAATTGCCCGGCCAAACACGCAGAAAGAACCAAGGCCCTGGATGTTCAGAAGATCATAGACTCATTTGCGCTAAACCACGGCAACAGACGTATCGTCCTTCTGTAGGCTATATGCAATCCATTACATAGTCACTAAGGTTGTGATGTGGTGTTCGTTTTAATGTTTTATTTAAGTTTTAAGTATGCACAGTTCTGATTATGCATATAAATATGTATTGTGTTGTTAATGCTAAACGCATGGGTGCTGTCCAGTTCTGAAGTCTTTCCTTTGTATGTAAAAAGTTTTTGTCGTTGTCTTATGGTCACTTGTATTAAGATTATATCTATTTTGATGAATTTGCCTATTCGTTGGCAAAATATAAATTAAAACTACACTTCTGTTGAATATGGTGTGTCCCATAGCTGCTTTTATTTAAAAAAAAAAAACGACAGTTTCTTTATGAAGTAACTCTGACGTCATCAATATCATTTATTTTCTTAGCACCCCCACATATTGGTCTAGCCCCCCCTTAGCACCGGTAGAGAACAAATTCTGGCACCGTGCCTGCTTTGAGGGTGTGTTAAAAGTTCTACTGGGACCTTATTCCCAGGGCCCTTGACTGTTACCATGCAAATTTTCAGAAATTTTTAATACTGTAGAATTTTGAAGATATTTTGAAGATATGGACCCATAAGTTGGCAGACATGACAATACAGTAACTGCAGAACATTGCATTATTGGCCCAGTTGGCTCTTGGTCAATGGAACTTTTTCACATTTCCGGGTTTCTCAGCAGCGGAAGTAGTCATAGATGGGGTAACGTGAAGAGCGGCGAATGGGAGAGTACCACAAATATATTTTTTGCATTCCCATTTGCTCAAATAGCAAAAGAAAAACTCCACGATAGTGTTTTCATGACTTTCATTAAAAGGGAAAAAATTGAGAGAGACTGATAACGGCAGTTATCACAGTCTTGTGAAAATGGTCCATTGCGCCACCAACTGGGATGGAGTGTGAAGCTGACGTCGAAGGGAATTTTTTTTTTTTTTTAAATAAACAATAACTAGCCTACCGATATTTTTCCATACAAATACTTTTAATTTAAAAGAGATTTATAACTTTATATGAACAGTTTACATTTTGTAATGTCAGGAACATTTCCTTCCTTTTATACATCAGAACACACCTTTAATCATAATTTTGATTTATTGTAATTACATAAATTATGATTTACATAAATTGCTTGAGAGCAAATATTTAAACTAGTGTTCAAATTGGTAAATACAGAACTTGTCATTTCTGTAGTTATCAGTGTTAGCATACAACACACATCAAAATATGAAATGCTACAATTAAAAGCATGACACTAGGAAGTTAATTTTACCATTTGACCCATCAGTGATTTTTCTATCTGTTTGGGGGTCTTTGGATCTTGTTGAAATCTCAGGTTGGTGACTTTGTTATCCAGCTCATCCATGAAACCCTCATCAACAGACTCACTGTCCCTGTCTTCCTCCTGTCCAGCACCCTCTGCAGGCAAGAACACGTGCAGCTGTGTGCGAGATGCACTAGATGAAGATGTGGGTAAATGCTGTGTGGGAAGGCAAGTCTTTCCTCTGACAGATAAAGTCTCTAGGTTTACGGGCTGCCTGCGCTGCCTCACTAACGGCTGCAGGCCTCTGTTCTCTGTGGCCTGCCGCTGACTGTGAGTAAAGGCCTGTCCAACCTTTGGTACAGGCTTCAGAGGCTGAGAGAAATGCATGTACGCTTGATGATAGCTCTGCTGAGGCATCTTTGGTTTCTCAAGGGTCTTGCAGGAGGGAGATGGGCCAGGTTTGTGTAGAAGGGGATGGTGGTTTTTTGAAAACCCCTCGAAAACTGCTCTCTGGCCTGGGGTGAACAAGCAAGGCTCACTGACACTGAGAGATCAGAGGAGACCAAAAACAGACACATGTGAGGATTAAACAGAACATCTTCAATTATAAAGCTGAAGGAATGAAAGGATAACGTTCTGACAAATACTACCATTCAAAGTTTGGGGTCGGTAAGATTTATTTTCGAAAGAAATTCATAATAATTAATTCAGCAAGGACACATTAAACTGATCAAGTTAAATGATCGAATTAATAGTAAAGAATGTTACAAAAGATCTCTATTTCAAATGAGCTTTTTTTCAACATTGATAAGACATGTTTCTTGATCAGCAATTCAGCATATTAGAATGATTTCTGAAGGATCATGTGACACTGAAGACGAGTAATGGCTGCTGAAAATTCAGCTTTGTGGCAAAGCTGGAAAGCACAGGAATACATTTTAATTTGTAATAGTATTTCACAGTATTACTGTTTTCACTATTTATGATAAAAGAAACGTATCCTTGGTGTGCATAAGAAACTTTCAAAAACAAAACAAAAATGATAATAGAAAAAAATCTAACATGTTAAATCCTGATTGTAATATTTTTTTGAAAACTTTGAAATACTATTTGAGCTGCCAGTCCAGATACACAAGACTAAACGGGCCATTAAATCCTTTGCCACTGTTCTGCCAATCAATCAACCAATCAATCAATCATCTGATCCACTAAAACATCAAAGATGTAGGAGGTATTCTATGATGAACATGTTTTATTTTTTGAAAGTATAACGTGTTCATTAGTTAGTTCAGGTTGTATAATGTGGTGTTACTCCCCCCCCAAAACAAATATTTTATTCATGACATTTGTTTTATAGATTTCTTTCCTCTGCTGATTTCATAATATGGCCAGCACAGCATATATTGTACAGCTTGACAAACACTGGAAACATTGGCTGCTGTCATTGGATAATCGGTGTAATTTAGCTGTTGTTTTTCCCCCCGTGAGCCGTTTGGGTGTGTTGCCACGTAAGAGGAATGTTTCTCAGGTTTCTGAAGCATTTCTCCATTGTGCAAAGGATTTGACACTTCCTGTTACTGGCTGATGAAGAGCTGTATCTGCACTCACATTTGTACAGGTTTGAAGTATAAGGCAAACCCCAACAAATTTAAATCATTCTGGGGATCATGTTGCTGTAAGCATTTCACTTGTATTCAATTTTAAAAAGTTAAAATTATTTATAATAAAAATTAAATGTAAAGTTCTCTTAAATTTAGAGAATGTTTTATTAAAACATGCTTAAATATTATATATACTATAAATATTACAAATAAAATAAAATTTCATGCCTTTTTTTTACCATGCAATTTTGATATCACATACAGTACTCAATTCTCTATCTATTGCTGATGCTGAACGCCAGGCTTCGAGGCACCAGATATCAGCTTACCTGAGAGGAACCGCGGTGGTCCGACCATGTGTTGATCTGGACAATAACGATGGAAGTCTGAAATCATCTCTGCTCCGTGAGCCAGGAAGTGGGAGCACAGAACTGGAGAGCAGGTATGTCCGGACCAGAGTGCGATTTCTCTGCATTGCCCACTGATGCTTTAACTCCACAGTGTTCATGCTCAGTCCAGAAGGTCCCCTCGTCACACTCATATCTGCACCGACAGCACCAGACTGCAGCCGCCCCTTGGGGAGCATGTCCACGTACAGTGATCAATCATTCATGTGCATTAAAAATACATCAGGCAAGCCCATTGGTCACACACCACCAAATTCTCCCTCCCTGTCCCCCTTTCCCTCGTTCCATTGTCAGCATACAGCACACAGAAAGGCTTGAGCATTTCTGAGATATCCTGGAACATGGGGATAATCTGAGGATTGTCTTTGAATCACCATGAACTCAATAAATCCCAATTTTGGCAAATAAATTGTGATTATGTAGGCCCAACCTGAACACACAAATCCAAGTACACTATAAAAAATATTTCAAAGTTACAAATAAAAGACTATTGGAGTATGTTTTAGAAGAAAATATATATATATATTTTTTAAATCTTCAAAACCTTTTAATTCAATGTGCTACTTGATTATTTTGAATTGTAAAGTTTACTAGCAATTTCTTAGAGAATTGTTTCTACAATTTTTTTTCCCAGTGTAATCTTAGATTTGTCTCTAATAGAACTTGCAACTTTTTCTGCCAACAGACATATTAGTAAATTATGATTAAGCAATCAAATTTATCAGTCCGAAATGACATGACTTTCATATTTTACTGACAATCATATAACACTTTAACAATCCCTGAAAATCCTCTTAAGTGTATTTGTTAAAAACACTGGTCAAAAAACCCTAACCCACATTTACTGCACCACACTTCTCAGACTGCAGGTTTTTCCTTCTTGAATAATTTCCAGAAGTAGCTGTCAGACAATAGGACACAACAGTGATAAAACAAGAGAAACATAGCACCCTGACCTTAATTAATACTGGACAGCAGCCTGGGTGCTACTGAGTTACAGAGGTCTGTCTGTGTTTATAGACCTACAGAACAAGCTCTTAAGCAGACAGTCTTTTTCCTCTCTGTATTTTTATTTTATTTTTTTTAAGTCTTACCAAGTAAGTTTAATGGATATACATGAAATTGTGCTAAACCAAAATATTAATATTTGGCAAGAACTCTAAAACATACATCAAGTCAGCTACAAGATCAAGGTTCTGCAGTTCCACGTAAAATGCAATGGTTTCATCTAAAATAAATTCTCAAAAACCAGACATAGGGATCTTAACATAGTTTATTTAAAAATTGGATAGAATCATGATGCACCATGTGCTGCACTCAAGATTTCCTTAGCTGCCACATCACGTCACACTCCAACAGGACTATATAGGACAAACAGAAAGAAAAAAAACAAAAACAAAAACAAACAAAAAAAAAAAGAGGTAAAAATTAGTAATCTAGTTGCATAAATTATTTATCATCTTTGATTAAAAACAGTAAGATTCACACCTAGTAGCATTTTCTTATATATACAGGGGCATCTTTCTAATTTATTGAGATGCACCTGTATATATATATATATATATATATATATATATTAGACACTTTTCCCACATTGTCATTCTTATGTTAAATTATGATATTAAATTATTTCACAGACCTGCACATTATTGTCTACTGTGCAGGAGCATTTAGTGCCGATAGCGCTCAATTGCTGAGAGAACAGGTTCCTTGGTTGACCTAAAAAAAAAAAAAAAATTTTTTTACCCCATCACACAAACATGCAAGATCATCATTTGCTTGTCATAGTGAAGTGTTTGGTGAATTCTTACCCATATATCAAAGTGTATGACGCTGCTTAACCTCACTCAATCACCCGAGGCCCCTGCAGTGAGAGAAAGGCAGTGAGGATACAGAAGTAAACCAGTATACAGAGTCCTACCTAAACTGCTTTCTGACTTACAGCAGGCTATTATAATTAACAATAACAGAATTTTGGAAAACATTGGGTGAAAGTTTCAGTAGTCCTATTTAAAATAAATAACTACTTTAGTTCTCTTTCCAAAAAGAAAATTCCCTCTACCATGGAAACTACTCAAGCACATAATGCTCAAGTAAATGGTTAGGTATATTGAAGTTAAGCAAAGCTAAGTCACTTTGTTTTTGTTCTTTAATATACAGCTGAATAGCAAATATTACTTCATCTCATGCAGAAACACTTTGTTACAGTTGCTGTACAGCTCACTAAATGACAAGGTCAATGACACTTGAACTCCATACAGACAGCACCTCAAACACAATCCCAAATTTCTAAAAGATAAGGATGTTGTGTTAAAGATCTGCCTCTCTGAGGCAGCCACTAAGTCACAAGGTAAGTTCTGGCATCACACTCCATAGAGCTAAAAACTCATGGCCCATACTAGGATTATCAAAATGACAGATTGGGGCCAAGATGAATGGATCACAGTGCAGATAAACAGACATGTACACACATATCCAGACAGTCAAAATGCTGATCCAGCACTATAAATATGTTGTACAGAAGCACTCCGATCATCCACAGGAGCAGGAGTACGCACACGCTCCATTAATACAGTCTGTTCAGTAACATGGCTGTGATACACTGCTGGAGAACGAGTCAATGGCATGAGTGCAATACTCGTGTGAAGAATAAAAGATCACAGTAGATTTAGGAAAAACACCAAATAAATGTACTTTAAAAACACCGTTTAATTTCGCAGAGTATTTCCCACCCCAGTCCATATTGGGAAGTTTGTAAAGAGTGGAGGCAGCATTACTATGATATCCATGTATGTATGAAGCAAACAGACTAGTTAGACTGCCAGGATTGAGAAGTGAGAACAAGAGAGAAAGAATAACTATTTACACTGCCATAAATATATTTTTGCAACATCAAGACAACAAGCTTAAAGGCTATCCAATATAGGGGTTTGTTGCAGACTACAACAGATTTGTTGCAGGCTAAAACAGTTGACAGACAAGGTCTAAGCACTCAAGAGTTTGGAGGTTATGAGTGGCAAAGTCTGCTGTGTTTTCATGGAATCTAATACGCTTGCCCTTAGCAAAAAGCACTCGTCAAAACAGAACGAATAGAAAATTGTGATATGAACCACCCAAAATCAGAGCATCACTGGGGTAAACTGCTAAATACAGGCAAATAAATGTGATAAAAAGTGATTATTTTATTTTAAAATTCTATTTGAAATAAATGCTGTTCTTTTGAACTTTCTATTCAAAGAATCCTGGAAAAAAGGTTAACACTATTTAACAGCGACCTGGTCACGTGTACTTACTATAGTACTATACTTAATATAGTAATAACAGTAAACAAATTATGCATAATTACAAGCAACAAACCCGAATCCTAACCCTATAGTAAGTAGCTCTGGGCGATAAAACGGTATCGGTATTTATCGACGGTACACCTTCATCGATAACGTTAGATTTTTTTTTTGATATAGCGCACGATATAGGCACGTGCTATGAGTGACAAGCACACACGAGCACATGCTGAATTGAGGAGATTGTGAATAAAAAAAAAAAAGAATATTAGTCAAATTTAAAAATAAACATTTGGATCTGAATGCAAAAATGCTACAATCGAATGTTAGGTGTGCGTCATCAGCGGTGCATGAGATGCGGTGATGATGATGTAAGTGACGCTGTTGCATTTTAATGCTTTGTTAGTCTAGCCCAAGAGATGCACCGTTGCTGCGTTATTCTTTCAAAATATTCAAGAAATGTAGTAGCTCAATGCGTAGGAGATCTTGATTAGGTTAAACCCGAAACCAAGCCATTCACACAGAACGCATATTCAGCGCATTCTTTAGACGGACAACTATGACCAGGGGCATCATGCACTCATTATTTTTGAGGTGGCACGAGTTTGGGG